GTATATGTGTATATGCTTGATGAACCACTTCACAGATTCAGCTGTGGGAGTTGGTCTTCCTTGAAGTCAGACTACAGAAAAACTACTCAAGGCACAGTGAAAACACAGATTGTCTAGAGGCTCTGGGTTTTCTACACATCTCTTGTTAAAAAATCAGCAACACTCCTCCTCAGCTAAATATTAAGCCTCTATGTCTGCAAATGCCTAAAGTTACATCAGTATTGCAACTACTAGTCAGGGGTTCTAATGCACTGAAGATGGACATGTAAAATCCAATTTAAGACCAAGATGTGTGATGTTAAAACATACTTCAAGCATGCCTGGCACTGAATAAACAATTACCCTGTTTCAAATGCGATTAGCTTAGTTTTTGAAGTGTCACACAGAGCACTCAAGGTAAAAACAAGAGCAGCCAAGAGACCCATTTCGCTCGTGTGGGTATATTTAGTCAGAGTGACCCATCATTAGAGCTACTTCCAGGCAAACAGACTCCAGACAGCGGCCCAGCACTGCGGAGGTACACCTGGGCAGGTGAGCTACACAGCAGGTAAATCTGCGTGCGCCCTCCGCCTCCGTCCGTCTGTCCTCGAGCTGCAGTCACGGCTGTGCGTGGGCGGTCAGCGCGCGGTGCGTGTCGGGGGGTGTCGAAGACGTGTCTCGTGTGGGCAGCAGAACGCAGAGCCCGGGTGTCGTGGAGCCAGTGTGACGCGTCTCAGACTGTCACGCCTCTCTGCGGCCGAGCTTTCTAGAACGTGTCCTCTTACCATTGGATTGAATAAACGTGAAATTAATGAATCAACTCGATAGTTTAATTTCTGTAACGAGGAGTCCAACTGCGGGGAAAATCGCGCACGCTACACTCCTCACGAGCTTATCGAACCGAAATACTTTTCTTACAACTCTTTTTAGAAAATAAAAAAATATCTTCCACCCACAAGACCGATTTCTTCCCTGTGAGACAACCTTTTCTCCCACAGCTCCGAGCGCTTCTCATAAAAATGAACTCTTCTGCCTCGTGTAGCCACAGTAACACACAGAACAGACAGACGAAAGCTCGTCCAAGACACGGCATTTAATTACAGATGTAATCTGTTTTATTTTTATGCCCGATGTGATAGCTCCGCGGGGGTGAGACCGCTGTTTACCGTTTAACGAATATAACCCTCCCAGCCACCTGTTTGTGTTTTGTCTTCGGGCGAAACCCTGTTGCCATTTTTAGCTGTGAAAAGAGCACACTAATGCCGTATAATTTAAAGGAGTTTATGGAGATTCATAATTACAGTAAGCCGATGTTCACCTTATGTCAACAAATAGCAATAATGTAATTGGTGCCCTCCACACACGCGTGGGCCGTCTGGCTTTTGTGAAGGCGGGAGCGGCGGGTCTGCAGATCGGAGCGATAGGAGAGCCCGGCAGGGCTGTGGTCGAGCCCGACACCCCCGATCATTATTATAACGGTCAGACAGCAGATAAACGTTTAATTATTGCACGATTAGGTCTGTATACCCGGCACGCCGAACGGAGTAAACTGCTCCAAACACCGTCGCCCGGCCACCGTCGACCTGTGCTCGTTCCACAGACCAGATGTGTTACGAGTTGCAGTACAGCACAAAAGCACTGACAGGTCTGTTTATTTCACATTCTTCGGTTTTCTTTCAAGCTACTTCTCGAGTTTTAAACAACAAGGCATGTCATTCTTTCTTCACGATGATTGCATTCAGATTCAAGAAAGCCGCGGGAGACTCACGCTGTATCGCGGCCCGGCTGCCGGTCTGCGACTGAAAGGTTTTCACACTGCCGGCTCAGCGGTGTCATTGACATTAAAACGTTCCACTCTCCTTTGTTAACTGGTGGATGCTGCACATTGGTGGTGGTGGAGGGAAGTCCCCATTACCTGTAAAGTGCTTTGAGCGGAGTAAAGTGCTTTTTCTGGAGTGTCCATTAAATCTCTATATAAGTGTAAGCAATTATAATTATTATTACTGTCCTGCTTTGCAGCTACGTGGTCATTAACAATCCTGTAGCTGTTCGTAAGGGTGGGGGTGTATAACCACACTGTCCTAGCTAAATTCTAGTCTGAACAGTCCGCCCTCCTTAAATGTCCTCTTGCTTCACCTGATGAAGCCCTTTCCGACGCCTCCAGCGCTGGTGCAGAATGCCTCGGGAGAGGACGCACTTCAGTGTGGAAATTGGTTCTCTCTGTGTGGCGTCCCCTCGTTTCCAGCTTCTCCTTGTGGTCTTAAATTGCCATACAGAGGCAATTGTTAGGGGTTACAGTGGGATTGGTCTGCAGAGCCTATTCCTTCCAGATCAAGCTTTTTTTTTAAATTAAAACAAGGTTTGTTCCAAAGCTTTGAAAATCGCTGGCTGAGAACACGTGGCCTCAGAAATGATTGTCACTGTAAAATCTGCAAAGCTTTGGGAGCTGAAAACAATTAAGACAATGAAATATGAAAAAAACCCAAGAGGTGTTCATAATCCTTAAGAGTTGTTGACAAAGTCAATACAGGGGATTTCTTCATGAGGGACAGTGAATCACAACCCAGAGGAAATACAGTCGATGGAAACCATTTGAAAGAGAAAGAACCTTCTCCAAGAAAGTGATCAATGAGATTATAAAAATCATTTAGTTAATAAGTACCAAAGAGGCAGGTGAGCAGACTGGCTTCTCTTTGGAACTTCTCTTATGATAACATGCAAACTCCACACATAGCAGCCCCTAACAGTGTAACCACCTCTCCCCTGGGCATAGCAAGACAACTCCCCAGTCAGCAAAGCACATCTCCAAGAGCATGCCAACTCTCTTGTCAAGCATAAAAAAAAACCATGTTGCTTCTTTTAAGTGTACTTAAATAGTTTATTAATAAATTTACAGATCAGTTACAAAAATTTACAGAACATATGTACAGTGCACACTCAACATACACTCTATCTAGGACAGTGGTAATGTACATATATCATAGACATGGTTGTGTTTAACCCAATAGTGCAAAATGGATGAACAGTAATAAGATAAAAATAAAAAATAAAACCAAACTAGTTTTACCCAATAAGAAATGTTCATAGTTGTTTTAACTTCCTTCCAAATCTTTTGCTTCAAGTAAAGCAAAAACAAAAACTGCAAATGTTAAGGCACATAAATAACAGGATTCATTGTTGGATGTTTCCCAGTGGAAATCCTGTTCTGACAGGAGAGTCTGTCCACCCATCGAGCCAGAGGTTTTTACAGTAAACCAGTAGCTCCCACACTCTCCAACTCGGAGAAATGAATACAACTACACCGGTCAGTCCTCTCCACTCCCTGTACCCCAGCCGATTGTCTGCGCACCCATCCAGCTTCGACCTCCACAGCACAGGCGTGTGAGAAGTCAGAGCTCCTTTGTGTGGGGGCCCGTCTCAACGAGTCTGCGAGACACGGACACCCCAGAAACAGGGGTACAGGGGTGTTGGTAAAATTCCTATTGAAGCAAAATGGCAAGAGGACTGGAAGGAAAAGACACAGGTGAAAGATGGTGGGTTCTGCAGCTCAGATGTGGCCCCTATTTCACAAACATGAACTGAGACCTAAATTCAGGTCCCCTGGACACACTGAGTACCCAAGTGTCCCCCCCCCTTTGCCAGCTGCCAAGACCTCCCGGTTTCCCTAAGCCTACGAAGACAGAATTCACAGCCTGTTTTTGGTTTTGCAGGAGAGTTCTCCCACTGTTCTCTTTTCAGCTTGGGACCCTTCTTCCAGGAAGCGCTTGAGATGTGTGCCAGCATAACATAACCCCCCCGACACACACACACCCCTCACCCCCAACCCAGTCCTCCCGTGCAAAGAGGGGAAGAAATGGAGGAGGTCAGAGACGCACAATCCTGCTACCAAACATCTTTCCACACAAGGACGTCTCTCGGCAGGAATGTCCTCGGAAGTCCCGTCGTTGGGAGATCCCCATGGGAAGTCTGTGTTCATATACTGAACCTCCAAATGTCTGTGCCAGTCCTGCCCGCCGGCTCTGCCCACCCTCTATCTGGGCACAGACACCTCCTCCCTGCCGTCCAGGGGTGCAGCAGCAGACTTGAAGCCGAGAGAAGAGTTCAGGCCCAGAAGGGGGTCCCCCCTTGCGCTGGGGGTGCGGAGGTGGTCAGGCCCCCTATGGCAGACGCAGAGGGGACAGGGGCAGCCGGCGGGGTGGTGCAGTCCCTGGGAGGGGGGGTAGATGGAGGGCTGGGGCAGCCCGGGGAGGATCTCGTGCCGGGGGTACGGAGCGTGGGAGAGCCGTAGGGGGTCGAGGGGCCTCAGGGCCCCCCCGAACGGGCTGGGGAGCACGGCCCCGCTGCCCAGCCCCAGGTGAGAGTACAGGTGCAGGGGCACGTGGGGCAGGAAAGGGCAGGGCAGGCCGGTGGCCGCCTGGCTCATCATGTAGGTGTAGAGGCTGGGGTCCAGGGGGTAGGGCCAGGTCAGGGTGTGCCTCTGCCTCTTGTCCTTCATCCGCCTGTTCTGGAACCACACCTGTGTTAGAGGGAGAGGCTTTCAAGAAGGGGGAGACACCTGGAGAAATGTGCACAGCAGCTGGCTCAGCAGGAGAGACCAATGCTCCATATGAGCTTTTTCTTGCATTATTCAAATTTTAAAAAAAATGGTAGAATTGCAAAAGGGAGACAAAATGTGTTTTAGTGACTCATGCGTCTTTCTCCGCTCTCTTGCCAAGCTTCTCTAGTTCAAGACCTGCTCATGGCACACAGATAACACGGTCTATACCCTGGGGTGACCCCTACACCTGCTGGTTTCTGTTGCAGCTGAGCCCTCAGCGACACAATCAAGCCCTTCATTGACCTAATAATAATACTACGATTAATTTGAACTGTTTGTTCCCAGCTCTTAAACATGCTGGGGCTTTAACCGATGTATACTGCAAGTGAAATAAAATCCCACACTTGCAAACAAAATGCAAATGTTCCCATGAAACCACGTCTTTAGATCAATTAAATGGTCTAATGAAAAGTAGCAGGTGTGTGGATCTCCAGGACCAGGATTGGGAAACATCTTTACACCTTCCGATGTACGGATTTCCAGTCCCTCCTCACCCCACGCGTGTTGTTGTGGGCGCTTTCTTAGCGCACGCAGCCTGCGTGCTGTACAGCGCTCCGAGAGAGCCAGGAGCTGTGTGGCGAGGTATAGAGACGTACCTTTATGGTCGTCTCCGGGAGGTTGAGTGCCGCCGCTAGCTCGCATCTCCGGGGCCGGGACACGTAGGTCTCCTTGCAGTACTCCTGCTCCAGGCGGGACAGCTGCTCCCGGGTAAAAGCCGTGCGGTGCCGCCGACTTTGGTCCACTGCGCCCGGGAAGGGGTTCCTTGGGGAAGCTTCTTCATTGGCCTGGTCCGTCTCACCTTGACCCTTGGCAGAGACAGGCGACTCCTTGTCCTCGGGCACTAAGCATCAAACACAGTAAAGATCAGAACGGCGTTTCCTCCGCACGCAGGCGACTTAAAACAAAAAAGTACACAAGCACTCCTAAGATACGGATAAATGTACTTTTAAGAAGATTGAACTGAGATTTGTTTTCCTTTGGGTATGCAAAAGCCTTCAATGACAGTAGACGCACCTAGAAAACGGAATGAAGAGTGTGACGTTGTTGTGTGTAAAGTCGGACGATTTGTGCGGTTCTGAAGCTCAGCTACCGGGCACGGAAGCGGTGGTATCAGTTCAATCATCCGCCTCTAAGCTTTTGACTTCGAATTTGAATGCATGTACTACAAGGCCGTGTCACACACCTGGGCTGCTTATGCGTTTCATCGGAGAAAGGGAAAAACGCGTTTGCACCGTGCGCCCCAAGCCGCACACATGCGGTAAACGATCACGGGGCGACTCGATAAACTTTTACATTATTCCCGCCGTGTGCCTTTAGAGTCAGTCGCCAAACAGCCATCTTTCAAATCGCCCCTATAAAATACTCTTTAAAAAAAATGCGACGCGTGCAATATCACCCAATCGCATGAATTCCGCGCACTCACGTGTGTTGGTGTGGACTTCGGGTTTCATGCTGCGCCGGTCAATCTGAACTGCGGGGCGTTAAGGCGAACAAGCGGGATATTTAATTCCAAGCTGGAACCCAGAAATCCGAGTTATTTCCTCATGTTCCTCCTCGAGGAGTGTCCTGCTCTTGAGAACCCCGCCGGGGGAAAGCGAGTCTCCGGGTGCGGGGCTAGGGCTGACTGGGTAATCCGGCTCCTCTCTGCGTCTCTGAGGCCGTGACGCGCTCCTTCCCCGTGCCGACCTCGCCTACAGTGGGAAGATCTGGCTGATGTTCTTTTTAACCCTCCTCTCTCGCGCTTTCTGTCTTTTATATCGCCCAGGTTGTCCTCTGCTCACTAATGAGAGACGCGGTGTGGCCGCCGCGGCGCCGCCAGGCTCGAGAGGGGAGAGGAGGGGGGGTGGATAAGGTGTTAAGTAGTCTTGGGCCGCAGAACTGTCTTTGTACTTTTGTTATGGAGAATTAAAATCCACCTCCCGCGCTTTAAAGTCGGAGGAGCTACCCCGTAGAGTTAAACCAACCAACATTGTCCTGTAGCGTTTGATGTTTGTGTTTTGGAAGTAAATCGTTAGAATCCTAATGTCCTCAATGGCCACAAAGCGGGCGCTTTCTCCGCCAGTGAGACGTCTGTCTTCGGGGTAAAGCGGTGTAGTGTGTGTGTATAGAAGCATATTATCCCTTTACTTACTAATTGTAGCACCCTTTGAGACTTTTTTTTCACGTATAATCAGATTAATACAACGTTAATTATATCGCTTGCCGATCCCTGGTCGCGCCCCAGGGACGAAATGTTTGTGCGATTATCACCTTGAGCTATTCATTGAAGGATAAATTAGATAACGGCGGAAGAGCCTTTTGCTTCCAGTACTGCAACTATATTCCTGATGCCCCGTGAGCTCGGCAAATTCCTTTCGAATATTGCAGAACGATTCCCAGAAGCAGTCAAGTGCGCTTTCATCAGCAAAGACGGCGCGCTCTCTGGGACTGGATCACTCGCGAAATCTGCTCAGTTAAGACAAGTGAATTATTTGTTTTTAAGCGTGTCTGCCCCACGGAGCTCGTCAGGCAGTGAAAACAACCGTAAACGAATACCACCACTCCCAAGAACTCAAGAACTACAGCAATAATAGCCTAATAATAATAATAATAATAATAATAATAATAATAATAAAGGTCAAGACAAGTCGTTCCAAAATTGAATTGCTCGAAGTTTAAAATGTTAGGTGCATTCTTGTAATGAAGAGTTCAAGAGTAAAAAAAAAAAAATTAAACCTTTGGAAAAATATATTTCCTTTTGGTGCTTCTTTAAAACAAACGTTTTAAATGGAATAGTACGATCTAGCTGATATCTTCGGAGGGTTTGGCATTAGAGTGATACACGGCGCTGGTGTTGCTCTGCTGCCGCTGGCGATTAGCACTGATTTGATTATACTGTTACAAGCAGGCGATCTTTGATCTTAATTATCCTGCCATAATTAGGAGTTTGGGCCAACTCCGTGAGTAGCTTACAGCATCACACGACCAACATTTTTTTTTTAAACCTGTGCGGAATGATTATGAGAAAAGTGGGTTTAAAGACGGAGCATATCGTGTAATAAAAAAAACTGTAATCTATTCTCACTCGTACAGCTCTTCCTTATGAAGCCGTAATGCCACAATGTGTTCGCAGTGATTGAAGTTAGTTTGTAATTAAAATGTTTTGAAGATGATTGCACTGCACGAAGCTCCACAAAACAGCACATTAACCAGACTACACAACAGAAACACAGACACTGAGCAGGGCTATAATGAACTCTATAGCCCTCGTCTCTTCACGTGGGGAGGAGAGAATTAGTATTTAGCTCCTTGAGGTGTGATTTATTCCTGTTTCTCTGAAACACGGTGCTAAGTGTCTGTATATAAGGCCAGACACTATGAATAGGCGGTTTCAAAATAGTTTAATTAGAAATATTTGCAAATAAGGTTAAGAGTCGACTGTTAAAGTAAAGCCGTGAGAAAAGGCTCGCTTCCTATCGCAGTATTTTATTTGTCCTGCTTCAGCACACAATAGTTTTTTTTTTAAATACAAGTCTGATACCTTTATCCAACTTGATTACCAAGTCAACTCGGCTAAGGACTGGAATTGTAGGCTGCAGCCGTGCTTGCGCAGAGCACCGAGTCTCTCCTGAAGTTCATCCGACAATTATTCATTCTTACCTTTTAAGTCTTAAAAAGCAATTAGTTCTTGTACGGAGTGAGACACATCTCCTGTAGCAAAACAGGGTAACATTTAACAGGAAACTCTCAATTAAAACGTATCAGTGTTTGAGAAGAAGACGTTGACAGTACTGTTTTTCAGGTCTCCTGGAGTTCTGTGTCATTAATTTATCTTTATACGCACGAAAAGCCACCGATTCTGCAGAAAGGGATTCTGGGACCTTTGCTCTGTGCATAACTACACACTTCTGGTGTAGGAGGTTGGTTTTGCTGGGGAACGAAAATAAACAGGTCCTCTGTTTCAGTACCGGCATCCAAAACTTTTAATTCTTTAAAACCGCGTTGGAAAGATCTGACATACAGCAACAGACGCCATTTCTGGCGTTTTCACTGAAGACGTGTGCCCTTAGCAGTAGGCTAGTTCCTTTCAACGCAAGTAATTAAACTGATTGATCGACAGACCCAAAGATTAAGTGATGTTGATCTGAACCAAAAAAAAAAAGATTATTTTTAATTAGTTTAGACGCAGGGTTTGCCTCAGTGCGCAGTGGTTTTGATTGGCTCCGAGCTCCTCAGACACATTCTTTTGGGAGATGGCCTTAGACGGCAACTCTGCCTCAGCTTGCGCCGAAATTCCCGAAGTCCCACACCCCGGTTCGGAAGTTGAACCCTGAGAAAATGATCTTCGTCATTAAGAGAAAAGGAAATGTCGGTGTCGGAATGGAAGCGCCGCAAATCGTTTATTTGTAAAGACCAAAGTGAGAGCCCGGGGACATTGTAAAGAACAGACGGCGCGAAACCACTGCGCCTCTTTTGTCTTTGAGCGCAACACGAATTTGTCCCCTCCAGCCGAACCCCACGGCAGCGGAGACCAGCGGGGATCTGGCTCAGGGCCTCTAGGGGCGGCGGTCAGGCCCGTACCTGCAGCCCGAGAGGCGGTGCCGGGTCGGCGCGCACGCCGAGCGCCGGAAGTTGGCGTCGATCACGTGTCGCAGCCCGCTGGCGGGGCTCCACGCCGGCTGACGGCCGCTGCTCTTTCATATGTGGCGCCTCCAGCAACGCCCACCGGAGAAAGGCGGTGAAGCTGAGTTTTTCCTCCGCTTTTACACAACTTTCTTTACATTTAAACATATCAATGAATCCGATGAGCCCATTCGTGGGAATACCGGTGCAATGCAGGATTTTGACATGGGCGGGCGGAGTTCATTTCGGATGGTTCTGTTTCTTTTCTTTAGGCACTGCAGTTGTCGTAGATTTATTTGAACCCGCCCGAAGAAGGCTCCACAGCCGAAACTTTGTGTTTTCTTTCTTCTGTTTTCAGCGTGGAATAAACCTATGACTTGTTCGTTTATTTGATTACTGTTTACAGATAAAATTATTAAGCATAAAACCTAAACACGAAAGAAGGCTATTCTTCCCATTTGGTAGTTAATCAATTCAACAGTCACACCCTCCTGTTTATCTGTACCATGTTTTTCTATACTATATTATCTGGCTTCTTTCAAGAAACAGCTGGATGAGAAATTAAAAAAAAAACATTACACTGATTCAATCCACCAACCCCACATCAGAAATCAATGCCATTTCCGTGCAAGGAAAGTCTTACTTTTAATCAATAAACAATCTTCCTGCACAGCTCCAATTTGCACCAATTATTATTGTCATATTTCATCTTGTAAGAACGCCAAACGACCGCTGAAACTACAAGACCCAGAATTCCAGAGTTCAACGGCGCTCCCCGCCTACTTCCTGAGCTCGAGGTGAACTATAACACGTGTTTGGGTGCGACCAATATTCTAAGAAATTTTAAATCAAGAGAGAATCCATCATAAAGCAGGTAAATCATGTTTAACTGTTATCTTTAAGAATGTATTCATACTGCGAAATGTTTTATGTGATTTCCTCTTCTGTTGTCTAGTGGGATAAAACTTTCAACATAAGCCGTGTTATCAGAATCAGTTAAATAACCACAGTTATGGTACAGATATCTTGTGCTGTATAAACATTTTAAATATTTTCATTCGTTATTCACGACTAGGACCGATATTTAAACGGAGTTAATGGCATCAAAAATAAATATTTTTAGAACTGCCAAAACTTACAACTGCACACAGCGGTGATAAATAATTCTAAACGTTGCACCTGTTAAACGCCACCCCTTCGACTTCTGAAAACAAACACACGCTCTAATCTTCATGGTTGTAGTATTTCCAACAGAATGGGAAAAACATTGATTGAATATATCGTACAATTTCCCTTTTTAACATATATTTTTCTTTATTTGTTTAGAAATGCGAATTTCTTTTGCGTTTTGTTTCGGGCCGTGTGCAAACAGTTTAGAAATTAAACCAAAGTAAAATAAAATTCACGAAGAGGTGGCGTGTTTACAGGGGAGGTTGGTTAGAAACTCCAGAGTTGAACTCGGGTTTAATTCTTCGGGTTTACCGAGATGTGATAAAATGGTCTCGCATTCGTTTCGCTGGTTGTTAAATGAGACGTCATGATAATATCCTTTTTAACAGTGATTTGTAGTGAAAAAAGATCCCAACTGTATTATGTAAAATATTTCATTAGAATCAGAATGATATAATTTATTCTTGGGACTTTCGCCGTACATGTGTGGTAATTGATCCCACAGTAATTTTCGATATAATGACAATAAAATCACTGAAAGGATCGGGTTTGATCAAGTCATATGAGACCCCTTTCCCTGTACGACATAACATAGCAGAATATTGTCTCTTTTAATAATAACAATTTACCGTTCCCATACAATGACTACATCTTGCTAGATTGCGAATCCGAGCATTGAAAATAACTACTAATTTCGTTTAGATGGAGATACGTGGTTGTAGAACAAACTGTATCAAAAGAGTTTAAACTGTAATGTATTAAGTGTTCAGATTCTAAAACAAGTGCCTTAAGAGTCTATACATCGCCGCGCTTTGCCCTATTAACAGTCCTCTGCATACAACAGCTCACGACATTCTTGCGCATTAAGTTGGGAGAAACTGAAGTGGGTCGCAAATGGATCCAATTAATTTAAATGTTTCGCAAAGCTGTGATAATACGAAAGGAATTCAATAAATTCCAACCTTTTATTTCACACCACC